TATTGATTTAATTATAACAGTTCTGATGAAAAACTAAAGATGCTAATTACCTGTCTGAAGTTTGAGACAAAAGGCACAGCAGTATCTTCGGTCTGAGATTTTCCATACAGAATTTACACTGGGATTTGGATATCCATGTTTGTAATTCTCAATGACTATTTGCCAGTGTTGCCAATTTTTTCCTATGCCATTTTATTTTAATAAGCAAACAGCTTTCCATAAATCTTACCTTGCCAAATTGGCTGTTCAGGTTTGCCATTTGTTGCAAGGATCAAATTGTCTTCTGATGAATTGTCTGCACTGTTTGTTCTGGGGCAAATCTGTGCATGCAGTTTACAAGCAAACAGCATTTCAGCCCAGCAAAGGGCACAACTAAGGGGTATTTTAAGATGTGCATGACAGAAAGGAAAAAATAATTTTTTGGAAATGATATTATAAACAGGTTTTTGCATCAACTTTTTTGTTGGCAATTAGGTACTAATTAAGCATCTAAGAAATTGAGCTCATAATTTAATTTTGTGTACTTTCTTTTAAAGATGAAAAGTGAAGGAAGTGGCTGTTCTGATCACCTGATAGCACAGCTCTCAGAAGGATTTCTGAGGTACAGGATGAATATGTACTATATGCCAGGTAGGTAGGAGACATCCACAAAACATCTGTTAATATCTAATAACAACCAAACAAAAAAGGTATTCTGAGGGCATAACAATAAAACTCCCTGATGTCCAGACCAACCTCCATAGGCTGAGACTGCTTTTTATGCACCTAAATATGTAAATCTTGGTTTCCTGAGATTTTGAAAGCATCTAAGCAGGTCAGGCAGGAGCTCCAGCTGGCTCAGACAGATTATCTCAAAGATGAGAGCCCATGTCAACAAACACCTGACTGCAGAACTCTACAGAAGCTCCTGCACACCACAGACAGGAAGAGCTGGCCTGTCCAGCTTACCACAACCTCGGGGAGGGAGCACCAAAGGAACAGAAAGCAGATTTTCACTTTTGCAGCCTTTTCTCCGCCTGTCCTCCCCCATTTTTGTGAAGTAGGCTCATATGTCCTATTGACAATGGAGCAGCTGAACTAACACTGACATTGAAACTTATTTTGCTTGTCAAAGCCATCAAAACAGGGAATTTTGAAAGTGATGAATGGTGGAGTGCTTAAATATTTTGAATACCTTGTGGTTAGTTTCACCAATAAATGGCATTTTGTAAACGCAGACTAAAAATTGTTGCAACATAACCTGCAGGAACATTCCCTTTCCAGGTGAAGAATTCCTGGCATCTCCTAGTGAATATCTCTGAGAAAGTGTGTGACAGAGCTGGAACAGGAGCAAATAGCTCCTTCCTGTAAATCAGTGCTTGGTCACATTTCCCATGGTTCTTTAATACTTATAACCTCCCTCTCTTACCTGTCTGGACACATAGTTCAGCTGCAGTAGGAAGGTGGTTTGGTGAGGTTTTTGGCTTGCTGAGGTTTTTGGCTTTGGCAGTTTGGTGAGGGTTTTGGCTTTGGCAGTTCCTTGCCAAAAGAGCAGCTTGCTCAAAGCTCTCATCGCTGAACCTATACCCTCATCTGCCAATATTTTAATTTATAGTATGTTTACCCAAGTAATCAGGCATGTTAAAACTGCACCTAAATCAGTACCAGAATGCGAGGTTAGCATGGCCCTTTGGTTTTATGCTGTCCCCAGGGTAATTAGCCCTGATGAAAAGCTCATTAGCTGCAGCACACAGCCACTCTAATGCAGCTGCACAGTTTTGAGGATCCCACTAAATGCTAAATGCTTCAGATGGTGCTGTGCCTACTGTGGGGCATTGGTTTAGGATTCCTGGGCATGACAATGTCTGGCTTACTTACCTCTTGTATTGTCCTACTTCTCTGATTCCATTCCACCACACATTATTTTCTGATCCCTGAGTCATCCCTGCCCCTAATTCATCATCTCTTGCCAGTGTTAACTACAAATCTTTCACATTTAGTGGACTCTTGCAAATAGTTTCATACATACTCATGCCAATCAAAAGTGCACAGGGCACATCTGATGGCTGAACTCAATCAAAAAGCAGACATGTCTTGGGAGATAGCTCTGATATACAGATCAAACTCTTTGGTTTTCAAGTAAATGCATCCCATTCTCTGCATTTCTGTCCTGCATGAGTAGCAGAATTGCACTCTCTCTTCCTAATTTTTGTTTGTGATTTTTTTAAAGAAAGTTAACAGTCTCCTCATTGCCAAACCAGTCTAGACAATGCCTTGCCTATAGCCCTGTCCCTTCATATAATTCCACTTACATTGGATGGGAAAGAACCAAAGAGGAATGCCTGTCTATATCTTACACCACTTTCTGCTTTTCTCTCTTCTTCCATCCTTCTTTTATTCTTATATTCCCCAAGCATGTACAACAAATGCCTCACATTTCTTCAATAAACCTGAAGCAACCAAGCTACAAAGAGGGACTCCTCTTCACAGCTCTGAATGTGTTTTTAGATTTATCTAATGCTTTTTCTTTCAATCAGGTCCCATAATGATGTAACACACACCTTTCACACACAGAAGTTGGCAGAGAGGGGGGAACATAGACCATTGCTGTGCAGCTGAACCTTAGACCTGTCTGTCGCTAATTCTGCAGGAGCTTGAACTTGTTTCTGAGTTTCATGCTTATGGACACTGTCCTAAATGCAGTCATACAATCAGAGAATCCTAGAATGGTTTGGATTGGAAGGGACCTTTAAATGCCATCTAGCTCCAGCCCCCTGCCATAGACAGGGAACCTTCCACTGGACCTGTTTGCTCAGAGCCCATCCAGCCTGGCCTTGAACATTCCCAGGGATGGGAAGTCCACAACCTCTCAGGTTAATCTATCCAGTCTCTTGCCACCTTTAGCATAAAAAAACTTCCTTCCTCCTATTTTATCTAATCCTAATCTCTTTCAGTTTAAAGCCATCACCCCTTGTCCTGTTATTACATGCTCTGTACAAAGTGCCTCCCTGGCTCTCTTGCAGACCCCCTCTGGGCACTGAAGGGCTGCTGGAAAATCTCACTGGAGCCTTCTCTTCTCCAGCTGACTCTCCTGCCCCAGCCTGTGCTCTCAGGAGAGCGGCCCTCTGATAAACTTAGTGGCCCTCCTCTGGACTGGTATTCCTCACTACTCAAATAGTTCCTTATGTTGGGTGTTTGAAGTTCTTCAGTGCCAGTTTATGTGACACAAGGTAACACAAAGTTCAAAAGGTAACTTTGAAATGCTTTGTGGAATTGTTTTCATTATCATTATCAAATTCTGCTAAGCACAACGACAGTGCAACATGTTGAGGGCATTGCAGGACGCATCCCTCAATAGCTGGTAAAAGACACTTTAGAGAAGCTCATGATCTGATAAAGTTCTTATCATTGTTCAAGAGCAGGGAAGGACTTGGCCAAAGGAACACCCAAATTACGCAAGCTCGCCTTGCCGCCCCCATAGCCAGGTGCTTTTTTTGTGCTGGGAATGAGGACTGGCACTTTTCCAGGGAGGTGTGTCAGAGGTGGGTGAGCATGGCCCTGCAGAGTCCCATTGTGCTGTAACAATCTCTCTGGAGCCCCGAAGGCGTGTCCCTGCCCTTATAAACCCCGCGCTGCCCCTGCGGGAGCTCCAGCTCTTCTGGAGGAGGGAATCGCGCCGGGAGCTGTGCCTGGGTGTCCCAGCCCTCTGCAAGGTACGCGCTGCACTCACCTTCCCTTTGCACTGCCCCGCCTGCAGCAGGAGGGCACTGAGAAATCCTGACCCATTTAACGCTGTGTTTGCTGGGCTTGCAATGGAACTGCGAGTGCCACATGAGGTTCCCAAAGAGGGGTTCATGGAAGGAAGGTTTGGGTATGGTACAGGCATGAAGCAAATCGAGTGAGAACTAAGTACAGCCTGATCATAGAAGCTGCTACCTGTGTGTTCTACTTTCTAAATTCATTTACATTAATTTAGATTATTTAGATATTTAGATTATTTCAATATTTGCAGATAGCTGAATGCTGAAATAGATTCTTTGTTAGCCTGGCTGCACATTCATTTCTGTTTTCTAACACAAAAACTTGGCTACAGAGATAACTATGATGGAAACATCTTAAAAATACGTTTAGGATTTTGATCATCAAAACGCCAGGTTTACATCCTTCTTTCATCCTGAAAGCTGTTTTATAAAGGCAAACACCTACAGAAATAAGCATGCTCTGTGCAGATGCAGGGATCACCTTGACAATTACTTCCTAACTAGCTAAATTTCAGAACTGAAGTTGCACATTTATGCCTGAAATTTGGTGGCTTTAAGCACAGCCCAGTACTCTGCAGGTTATCTTCAACAGCAAAAAGGTAGTTCTCTTTGTCTAGCAGTCAAGGTGGAAAAGAATGCATCAAGAGTTACTTTTTGCTGTCTGGAAAGACAACCATAACCAATGAAGACAACCAATTTTTTTCAGAGCAAGTTTAAATACTAACATAACCAGTGAATTGCAAGGATTTTCAGGATGCCTACAAAATAGCTTGCCTCAACTTGAACCCAACATTTTCCTTTCTGTCTGGGATATTTTTGAAGAATAGCCAGAGGTTGGAGTCAAAAATGCTTATGAGTCATTTTACAAAATGGGAGATTGTGGGAACAACTGCTTTGTTGTTATAATTTAAGATATCCATCTGACAAATCCAAAGTCCAAATTTCTTCTCTAACTGCAGAAAAGATTTTAATTAAGGTACTTCAGTCACTGGGCTGTAGCATGCCCTGAGAGTGACTCTTCTGTTCCCCATTGCATAGATAAAGTAACTGAAAGTTACTCCACAGCCTCTCACAAGGGTAATTCATAATGGTGTTTAAACAAGGCATTGTTTACACAAAGGACAGATAATTTTGCTGATAACATCACTTTAATAGGTACCAAAATGCAGTGCAATGCCATGTCTGAAAAACTTCAACTGTCAAATGTAATACAGCATTAAGTGAAAACGTTTTTTATTGTTTTGTTTCTTTTTGAAGGAAGATACCAGGCAGGACAGAGACCATGAGGATCAAAAGTTTTGGACTCCTTTGTGTGTTGATGCTGGTCTCCCAGATGCTCCTGGCCAACTGTGAAAGGCAGAAGGAAAGAAAAAAGGGAAAACAAGTCATAGAACATGGTGGAAAAAAACAAAAGGAATCTAAACAAGGAAATGAAAAGGGGCAGAAGGCAAAAGGAGGAAAATCATCTCCTAAAGGCAAGTTTGAAACCAAGGAAAATGCTGAGTGCACGTGGTCAGTGCTGGACACAAACGCTGTCATCCTGCAGGTGCGGTGCAGGCAGGGGCACAGCGAGTTCTGGTGTGAGTTCTCTGGAGACCCTTCCAGCTGTGCACAGTATGCAGCAAACCAGAAATCCTACTGGAGACAAGTCTCCCGATCGCTCAAGAAGCAGAAGCAGATTTGTCAAGACCCCAAAAGTGTACTAAAATCTAAATTATGCAGGAAAGGCCCACGAAGTGCTCACCTCAGGCTGACTCACTCAAGCCTGCTAACAGCAGAGGGTCCTGCCAGACAGAACACAATGCATCCCACCAAAGAAGTTGTTCAGGCTCCAGCAGATGCCTCTGTGACTGAAAAAAGGCTGGAACAGAGTCCTCAAGACTGTGTGGAAGATGTAGATTACATTGACCAGAAAAAGGTGGCTGAGGAATACTGTCCAGAAGGTTTGCTTTCCTTCTGCAACTTTTTTATCACAATGGTCCAAGACAAGCGATGCTGAGGAGGTGTTTCTGAAGCTCTGAATCATGAAAGTTTGGTCTCTTTTAAGTTGCTGCAAACCATTCCAGATTTTATTCTCATGTTTTATAGTGTATATAAGCAAGAAGGAATATATTTTTCTGATTTTGTATATACACAACAGACTACCACATTTGAAGATGTTATAGATGCTATGTGCCCACAGATTGCTTCCCAATGGATGTGTTGCCAGTGGATGTTACATGCTCTGTGCAGAAGTGTATCAGTCATCTCCTTGGCCCTCTTTGAGCTGTGCTAGCCAAAGTGATGAATTCAGTGCCATGCACTTCTTGGTAATGTACCATGCTTTCGACCTAAAAGTTATTAAGAAAAATAAACTTCGAAATACATTAAAAGTATTTCCTCCCTCTCTCTGTGTTTTACTAGATTTCTCTATAAGTGAAATATATCTTAGTCAAAGAATGATCTTCCACAATATCTATGTGAAGTGTTGTTTATAAAGTAGTTTTAAAAACACTTCTGCAGCTTTGCAGACTTTAGCTTTTGATAGCGAGCTACATTATTGTTAGATTTTCATCATTGTAGCAATGAAGGGCAACAAAATTTTCTGACTTGTCAATAAGCGTGCAGATCTTCAGTTTTTAGTCTCACCAAAGGATGTCAAAACACTTTGACAGCACCAATTCCCTCTTTTCTCCTACAGTCTGAAGCACATTGTACAAACTTTCTGGTAGGTAAACAGAGGCACGGGGCTAGAATGAGTTACACAGATTTGTACGTGGGCCCAGGACTGGATCCCTTACTCAGCAAATAAAGAGCTCATACTCAACACTGCCTGCAGGATTTTTTGAAATTCTATATTCTTTTATTTTTCTGTATGGAGGACACTAATATTTGTCTGTTCATTAAACTTCATCTGTGTTGAAGATGAAGTTTAATGAAAAAACCCAAACAAACAAAAACCCACAACATAAAAACCCCCCACAAAATTCCAAGAACAAAGATTTTTTAAAATGTAAATCTAAATAATGACAACTGATCTTTGCTAATTTTTGAAAATTCATCTGGAAGAACTGTAAGAGACATGCTTTTCTTAAATTCAGCTTACACTTTTCTTGTGGATCTGAGCACAGAACTATGGTCTTTGCTAGTGATCCACTTGAGGAAACTTGAAATTTTTATGAAAAACAATTTCCCTGATAATTTCTAGAAAATTAAACTAGGATTTCTGTCTCTTGAGAAGATATAGCCTGTTTCCTTCTGGTAATATGTCATTGCTAGAATAGTTTTAAGACGGGTAGCAATGAGTTGAATGTGGGATGCTGCTATTAGTCAGACAAACTGCATTTGAGAAGGATTCAGATGTATTTCACCAAGTAAAAATGACAAAAAAAAAGAGATTGTTCTTACTAAACTTGTTGTCTCTGCATGCCCAGTGGAAACACTGGCTGTTACGAGGCCATGCAGGATAAATTTGGTTGGACTGGTGCCCACCAAAAGCAAAATTCCAGTAAAAAGGGGCATTAACACTAACACCTGGGAGGCTCAAGACAAAGCCATTTTGGTGCCAAGAAGGGTGGGAAAACAGCTACCAGCTCTTTATTACTAAGGGAGATACATAAATGCTGAAAGGGCAGGCAAATTGCAGCTGCTAGACACTTTGTGCTTTCACTTTAGGAGATGATTGAGATTAGAAAGTCAAAAATGCAGAGGAAGTATCAGGAGCTTTATTTGGCCCAAGCAATCACACACTACAGTAATTAATTATTAATGTCTGCTCTGGTATACAGACACCTTTCTATTAGTTCCAGATTATAACCAGAGCACTGGGAAGGCCTGACTTAAGAGGCTTACTTGCTCCAGATATTTTGGAAAACATCCAATCCTAGCTCCCCTCAGCTGCTGTTACTCTGGGCAGCACTGAGCGAGGGCTTTGTTGCCTGAAGCACATCACTCTGCTCACAGAAGGCACTGCTCTCCCTGTGGCTGCCAGCCAGGCACACTGGGCCACTGACACGTCCCAGAGCAAATTCCAGCCAGGATTCCAGAGCTGTGAGCTCCATCTCCATGTGCAGGGCTGTCAGCACCTGGACCCACGTGTTGGAGCTGCACGCTCCTCTCCAGGGATGCATTACATTTCTCCTGCCTCATCTTCTTGTTTCCATTCAGGGCTAGATTTATCTCCACGTGTGGCCCTTTGCAGGAGGAAAACATGCACATTCTCAGCAGCTCATGGGTGCATTTCACCTTCAATGCAAGCAGTTGTGCAAGGACAGTATGGAGCACCGGCAGAAAAAGGAGATCTCTGTGCAGCCTTTTTCCTCAGAAGGTGGGCTATGGTGAGAGTGAACATCTCAAAACGGTCCCAGCCAAAGTATGGAATTTGGAATTTTTTACCTTCAGGAGAGTGTAGTTTTGAATGTTTTTCAGAAGGGTACATTTCAGGGTCTGAAGCAAATATATCTGGAGTCTACCTTCATCACAGCCTGTTCTATAATTGTACTGACCACAACTCTGTGGCTAAGAGGGTCTGAGGTCTCATTGCAGCTACCAAGCCCTGTGTTTTTTCAGGCAACATCCACAAAGCAATCACTTGACTGCAATCACATATGAGTCTTTCCTTGGGGCATTTAGAGAGTGACTGAAGCCAGTATGACTTTGGTGATTGTCAAGCTAGTTAACATCCATAAAACATCTCCTGCTATTGTTCACCTTAGAACCTCTGCTCGTTATGCAAAAGTTCACAGCTGAGATCAATTCCCTGACTCTTTGTCCCAGGCACACCAGTTGTCCTTGTGTCAGAACTCCATGTTTGAAGAACTTGATGGTGGTGACTTTTCTAACACATTTTCTAGTGGGGCAGGCAGGACTGCAGGGAAGGAGAACAATGAATGGGTTTGAATTCTGAGTGCATGGTCCAAGTCCTCATATTGAAAACCTACAATCTCAGCCTTCTTAGTGTTAATGTGACTTATGGAAAAATCATCCCTATTTCACACCTGGGGAAATAAAGTACAGGAAGGCTGGGTGACCTTGACAATCATGGGAAGAATATCAGAGGCTGGATCAGCTACCAGACAGAGGTCTGGAGTTCCTGTGGTTCCTTTCTCCCATCTTCATAATTAGACCATTCTGCACACCAACTGCATGGATTTGCTCTTGAAGCTATCCAGCTAACTTCTAGATATTTTAAAATCATTAGAAGTGTCTTGGTGAAAAATTAGATTACTTTCTCTGCAATATAGTTTGTTTTCCAGACAACCCTGGGTGTTGTAATTTGAATATTTACTTAGGAAGAAAGAGCTTTTGAAGAGAGGAAACTCATTTTATCTTCAGAGATGAAGCTTCAGGGAGTTTCTCTTCTAGGTGATGCATGATCTTTTTAGATAACCCTCACATACTCCTCCTGCAAATTCTTAAACTCTCCTTAAACTTAGGAGAGTCAAAAGACCAATTTTATTTTAAAAAGAGAAGAGGCAAATTTGGAATTTTCCAACAGTTATCTCCTATAGTTACCAACCTATATGATGGTTTTATCTGGAAAAAGTTACATATTTCTTTGTATTCACTAGGAAATGGGAAGACATTGTTAATGCCAAGCAAATAGCTCTGAAAGAGCAGCACTACTTAAGAATCTGTAAAATTGCAGCTCCCTCAAAGTTTTATTCATTACTATTTACTGCAGTGTATTTTATGCCCACTTTCATGCACCATTTCATTTGAATGAGTTTCCAATCCTTTTGCAAGCTCCTTTATTCATTTACCACTGTGGAACAGGGCAGATTGTGTATCTGATCTCCAAAGCTGCCTGACTGCTTGAAGGAGAGCGGAACTGACTCAGCCTTGCTGCTCCCAGGAGTTCCCACCCTCCTCTTCCCCCAGGGCCCCAGTGGGTATTTCCACCTGATCTCACCTGACCTGGAGCTGGCCAACCCTGGTGGGGACTGTGCTCAGACAGGACACATTCCACACTGCCATGCTCCCTGTGCACACTGAGCTGAACCTGGAGAATAAATTCCCCTCCCTTTTCCACTTTTGCCTTGTTTTCTTCCTGATGCTGCCTGGAGCAAGGCAGCTCAACACTTGCTGGTTGCTGCTGCACCTCACTCGTGCCTTTGCTGGGTTTGCATTCCAAATCAATATTTTATACAGGTTGTTCCTCCAGGCTATTCCAACAATGATGCCACAACAGGAATTGATCAAAAGGAAAAATCCAGCTTCAAGGATGGGAAATTCAGCAGGTTCCAGCCTGCAGGGGTTTCTTGCAGTCTTGTCACTTGGATGATGCTCCTGACAGGAGCATGCAGGTCCTCTGCCTGTTATCACCATAAATGCTGCAAGTCCTAGGGCATTTCTGTGTCCTAACATCCTGGAACTTCTTTCTGCTCCCTCCTTGGCTGAGCAGGGGAACTCTGAACCCTGGCTGCAGTCATCACCTCTCTTCAAAGAGCCAGAGAGGAGAAGGCAGCATGCAAGGGTTAGGGTTATCTGGCACTGGGCACCTCGAGGGCTCAGACTGCACCTGTGTGTCCCTCCTGCTCCTTCCACTGCTGTGACTACAGATATACAATACATGGTCACAGATAAAGAGAGGGCACTGGCCATGTCATACAGCTTTTACCTGTGTGTAGAGCTTTGTAACAGGAAAGGATGCATTAGAGACCAGCTTATCTCTTAAACAAGGATTCACACACAAGGGATTTCTTTGGAAACATACTGTTATCCATGTAAAGTATGTGTTTTATTTAGCCACCAGACTTTCTTCCAAACTTGCTCATCAACCCCCCTGGAAATACCTGTTTTTTAAAGAAGTGATAGTAAGTGGAAGAACAGTGAAATGTTCCCATCAAGCCAAAGTTACTGCCTGCCTTGGCCACAGATCATACCAGGCCCCACGTGGAAATGATAAACTTAATTAACCCAAAGCTCCCAGTGGAACATGTAGGTCTCACACTGATTTCCAGGCAACAAACAGACACATCAAAGGGACTTTGTTATATAATGGGAGCCTGTGACATGTTCAAACCATCCACCAGTGTGCACATACAAGTACTCTGTGGTGTTTTGTGTATGCCAAGGAAGAGAGTTGTTCCAGCCAGCCAGAGCCTTTGATGTTAAAATTAGTCTTAAAATGAAGGAATTACCTTGTTATCTGTAACAGGAATGTGTTCTGTACATCCATAATATGTGCACTAATTATATGTAATAGGTGTGCTTAAATAATAGAATATCATTTAAATAATTTAAGTTACCTTTACATCTTTTGCCTGAAGGTGCTGTGGTCTCTAGAGTCACCCTAGAGGTGGTGTGGTTCCCTGAAAGATCTTGCACTTCTTTTGGGCTATTCCACAGCAGCTGAATTCCTACAGATGCACATGCCATGGCAGCTCTGTTCCCACTGCTTGCTCAAAGCCTGCAGTCCTCAGGGATGGCAGGGAGGCCTCCAGGTAGGTGTTAAACTCAGAAATGCAGAATATTCCTCACTTACACGTGCCAATGGCACAGAAGAGAGCTAAGGAGTAAGCTCAGAGCAGTTGGAACACTAGGGATGCTGGATATTGTGCAATTCCAGAGGAAATATTGTCTCCAAAGGAACGGGGACACTTGGGCTGCACGTGCTGGTGCAGGTGGGGTGTTGGGGTGCACAGCCCCAGCTGGTCAGGGATCAGCTGCTGTCTGTGAGGGTCTCAGTTATTTACAGAGAAAATATTTTTAAAAAATTAAAAATGATGGTTTAAAAACAAGAGCAGAAAAATTGATATTTTCAGAGAGGCAGATTAAATATTAACA